TTCTGCTTATTCCACTAGTAACTTCCTGATTACTTGCGGAATTAGCAGCAACTGAGAGAATGCGTAGAGAAGGACAGGAGGCCAGGGGCAGCTGAGAGCATTCACACCCTCCGCTTGAGGAGAGTGGTAACTGGTGAAGAAGCAAGGGAGCTCAGCCTTCTCCGGGGTGGCGAAGAGATCGACTACAGGCTAGCCAAACCTCAGCGACAGCTGATGAAACATGGGTGGAGGCACTACTCTGTCTAATCCAGGGTAGTCCTGCTTAGCCAATCCGTTTGAACATTGCTCACACCCGAGATCGATGCCACATGCCGTTCTGCCCACCTTCCAAGCACCTCTGCCTCTGACATGAGCAAGCTGGATCTGGTGCCCCCTTGGCGGTTGATGTGCACCTTCCTTGCCATGTTGTCCATCAGGACAAGAACGTGGCGACCTTGAACATCTGACTGGAATCTGTGTAGAGTGAGGTCAGCTTCAACCAGTTGATGTTGTGATTCAACTCGTGGGCAGACCACCTGCCCTGCATGGCCTGGTTGCGGAGGTGAGTACCCCATCCGTAGAGACTGACAGCCGACATGATGGTCATGCGCTTGGGCTCCCAGAACAGAATCTCTTTGTCACAGCCAGGAACTGCCACCACCTGAGGGAACGAAGGACCTTTGGTGGCAGCCAAACCTTGACCATGGAGTTGCTGGCGTTGGCCCTCTGAGATGGGAGGAGGAACCATTGCAGGTACCTTGCATGCAACCTTGCCCAGGGGACGATTGCAAGACACAAAATCATCTTTCCCAACAATTGTGACAACAGGAGCACTGGGACGGATGGACGAGAGCCTGAAGACTGTATACTCAGTCCTGAGACAGCGACACCTGGCAAGACAACGTGTCAATCACACACACACATACACACACACAGGTACAAGACCCTCGTGAAAAGTGACAAGTGGCTTTTTTTGAGGTTGATCGAGAACCTGTGATGTTGAAGGGTGAGCATGGTAATCCGAAGGTCGCGCATTGCTTGCGAGAGGACGACGACTGGATGAAAATATGGTCCAGGTAACATTGAAGATGAATTGGGCACAATCGGAGGTGAGCCGGCCAGGATCTTTGTGAAAGTCCTAGGGGCTGATGACAAGCCGAACAATAGAGCCCGGTACTGATAATGATGTCATGCATAGTAAAACCACAGGAACATCCTGTAGGCCAGTTGTATCGGAATGTGAAGGTATGCTTCCTTCAGGTCGATGGAGGTCAGGAGATCCCCTGGTCAAATGCAGCCCAGTATCGACTGGAGGGATTGCATTTTGAACTTTCTGTAGGCCAGATGTTCATTATGTCAGGCCTGCAGCCATATTGCCTTTTGGATTTTTAGTCTGACAAATTTTCTATTATTCTATTTGTCATTTCTATTGAGGGGAGGGGATGGGATGGTATGGAGTGGAATGCTATGTAGCCAAAATAAAATTCCTTTCTAGAATCCAAGATAATCCTTTGTCTCTACACCTCTGCACCTGACCAGAACTGTATGGGTGGAAATGCCAGCATGACAATGGAAGATTGGACCATGTGATGGACTTGTGGGTGTGAGGCAAGTTCTTGAACTTTCAACTGGGTGGGGTAAACCAAGAAGCTTCAGATTCGGGTTTCCCCCAGATGTGCCAACATGGCTCTCTTAATAAATTGGAACTCTGAACATTACTTTGCATTGAACTCTGATTTAATTTTGAATGTTATTTGAAACCTGACACGTTAAGTTTCTTCAAGTCCAAAATGGACCTCCACCCTCCTGAGCTTGTTGGCATTAGAAATAGTATGGAGTAAAAATCCCTCTGCTCCTGATCCAGGGAAACCAGTTCTATGACCCTTATCTCCCTCAGATGTTGAATTTCAGCCTCTATGACACCTCTCTTGGTGGCACAACGGGGGAGGGGGGACAACGGATGAAGTGGCAGGTGGAGGAGAAATGAACTCTAGGGTAAGTCCCAGCTTCACTGTTTGCAACACCCACATGTCTGACATGGTCTCCTCCCAGCAGGCGGCAAACAGTTGCAGCCGGCCCCCTATGGGACGATTGGTCTGGTGGTCATTTGTTTCGGCGGGTTGGTCTGGTAGTCATTTCTTAGCATATCCGCCTAGAAATGGGCAACTGGAAAAGGGCTGGTGACAACCCATCACAAAATGGCTGTCTGTCCTGCACACAGTCCGAACTCTGGGGATAGGAACGCTGGAAGGAAGAGGTACTGGCCTGTGGATCTGGCTCCCGAAAAGGCTGTTTGCGATAGGAAGGGGACCTACGGTCTGGTCTGAGGGAGATGGAAGACATCACCTTCTGCTTATTCTTATTCTCAATTAGGACGGAGTCCAAGGAATCCCCAAAGAGCTTCCCCCCCCCCTTGAAGGGGGCGGAGGCCAACTTCCACTTGGATCTCATGTCCGCATTCCAATGGCGAAGCCATGAGAGACTGCTGGAAGTGACGTTGGATTCCAAGGCCCTAGAGGCGAACTTTGCTGCGTTAAGGGATGCATCCGTAGAATACTCGGCTGCAGCCACTATCTTATTAACACCTTGGCGCAGCCTAGAATCCCCTGGAGGTAAACGGGTGAGTAACAGGTGAATCCAGGCAATAGAGACCCTGGTAAAAAAGGAAGCTGAGGTGGACACCTTAATGTCCCACCCCACAGCCTGATGGATCTTGTGGCAGGCTCTCTCCTCCCTCTTATCTTCCACCTCAAGGCCTTCCAACAACTCAAGGGGAAGGACAGATGTAGAGGTGTTCTGGCCCCCCTCTTTGCTCGTTCACAAATGACAGTCAGACAGAACTTCAAAGGAAATACCTTTATCAGTCCTGGTTCAAGCTGGCTGCGAGCCCAAAAATAAACGTAGATAAAGACTCTGGCAAAAAGTTTCACAGCAAAAACAAAAAGCTCTTACAGCAAACCAGGTTTACAGAAAGCAAATCACTTATCCAAGTGCCTCTTTGAATCAGGTTTACAGAAAGCAAATCACTTATCCAAGTGCCTCTTTGAATCTCGAAACGATGAACCACACACGATGAACGACGTTGACTTCTGCCACGNGCTTTTCCCTGTTGCTTGTCACTTTCTTGCCACTTTCTCAGCAATGGACCAATTGTTTCCTTTATTTTTTTCTTGTTTTTAACATGTTAAAAAAAGCCTTTCTTCATTGTGAGCATTAGTTTTCCTCACCTCATCATTAAGGCTCGGGCTATTTGCTGATATTCTGCTTTAGTTATGCGCCCCTATTTTCATTTTTGTATTTCAATTTGTCAGAGAGTTTTTTATGCAGCCATGCTGGTTTCTTTTGAGAGGTGTTATTTTTCTTCTTTATTGTTTGTTTGTTAACTGACTCTGAAAAGTCAAAAAAATTAAAAGTCTTTCCGAGGGATGAAGCACCCTTGAAATTGCTAAGATATTGGGGCATTATCACAGAACCATCAAATGTTTTGTTGCAAATAGACAACAGTGTTGAGAAAAAAAGACACATATGAACTGCCAAGGGGATACAGTGGCTCATTGGCTAAGACACCGAGCTTGTCTATCAGAAAGGTCGGCAGTTCGGTGGTTCAAATCCCTAGCACTGCATGACGAAGTGAGCTCCGATTACTTGCTCCAGATTCTGCCAACTTAGCAGTTCAAAAGCATGTAAAAATGCAAGTAGAAAAATAAGGACCACCTTGATAGGAAGGTAACAGCGTTCATGTGCCTTCGGTGTTTAGTTATGCCAGCCACATGATCACAGAATTGTCATCATACAGTGCTGGCTCTTTGGCTTAGAAACGGAGATGAGCACCATCCTCTAAGAGTCCGGAACAAGTAGCATGTAAATGCAAAGGGAACCCTTTACCTTCACTTTAACTGCCAAAGATTTTAGAAGAATCAAACGTGAAGCTACCAGGAGCAGATTATCCTCCAGTGCTGTCATATTCCAGAAAGCTGAAAGCTACCTAGAGTGCCTAGAAGTACAAGGTATTCACTGCTCAGAGACATGCCCAAGATAAGGAAGGCTGAAACCCAACTACCAGTGAACAAGACACATAAGTTGGAACAGCAAGACTGGGCCAAGAAATATCTGAAGACAGATTCAAAGACTGGTGAGATGAGGGAGACTCTTCATGGACCAGATGGTAACAGGTACAGAGCTCCACTTTGACTCAGACGCCAGCAATGTGTAGGTGAGGTACTGGTATGGCTTGGTATTATTAAAGATGAGCTAGTTGGACTTTTGAGGTTGAAGATGGACTCAAAATCAACTCCCAAACCTACTGCCAATTCTTAGAAGACGCTTTCTTCAAGCAGTGGTTACAGGAAAAAGTCTGCATCTTTCAAGATCATGATTTTTATACAGGACAATGCTCCATCGAAGTACTCCACTGAGTGGTTAGCCAGTAAAGGCCTTAAAGATGAAAGAATAATGACATGGCCCCCTTCCTCACCTGACCTAAACCCTAGTGAGAACTTGTGGGTCCTTCTTAAATGGGAGATTTACGATGAAGGAAAACAGTACACCTCTCTGAACAGTGTCTGGGAGGCTGTGAAATGTCGTAAAATAAGGCAAAATTCACTTAACAAACATTTAGCAATTTTGGGCTCAATTGTGGTCATAAGTCGAGGACTATCTGTAATAATTAATAATCTTGAGTCAATTGATTGCGGATAGCCTTCAACATACCACCACAATTGAGACCTCAATTTCTTTGCTAAGTAAGACAGTTGTTAAAAGTGAATTTTGCTCCATTTTACAATTTTTTACAATCTTTCTTGCAACACCAGTTAATAACATAGTTGTTAAGTGAATCTGGTTTCCCCAATGATTTTGTTTGTCAGGAGGTTACAAAAGGGCTGGAGGTGAGTCCTTTGGAGGACTCACCTGCCAAAGGCTGCTTCAGCCAAAGCGAAGGCATCCAGTTTATAATGTCTAATAAAGGGGGAGAGAGAGGACTACGTAGCTGCTCGACCGACCTCTTCTATAGAAGCCCATACCACTGTCGTGGTTGCGCTCCTGGTGGAATGGGCTGTGTTGCCCATACCACTGTCGTGGTTGCACTCCTGGTAGAATGGGCTGTCACCCGTTGAGGCAATGGAAAGGCCTGAAGTTTGTCGGCATTGATGATGCATGCCCTTTTCCAGTCACCCACTGTTGATGATGTGACCTTCTTGCCCAGTGTAGAGGGCTGGAAAGACAAAAATAGGGATTCTGACCTCCTGAAGGAGGAAGTCCTCTTAATATAAATGCAGAGAGATCTCATGATGTCCAAGGTATGCCACTTTTTTTCCAGGACATGTGTTGGGGCAGAAGTTACTGGGTCTTATGGAACCAGAAGTTCAACTTGGGAACAAAGGAGGGGGTCCAACTGCAAAACCACCCTATCAGGGTGGAAAATATATAGGTTCTCCCACACAGAGAGGATCGCCAGCTCCGAGATCTGCCTGGCCGACATAATGGCCACAAGGAATGCCACTTTAAATGTAAGGAGGCGCAGGCTAGCCAATCTCAATGGTTCAGAGGAGATCCCGGGGAGAGTTCAATACTTTGGACAGGTCCAGGTAGGGTATAGGTGCACCACCAGGGGTCTCAAGTTGGTCACATCCCTTAGGAACCTGCATAGAGTGGGATGCTGAGCAAGAGACTGCAGTTTCCCACATAGCAGTACCGAGGATAGTGCTGCCACCTGTCTCCTGATGATGTTGGGTGATATCCCTTTATCTAGTCCATCCTGGAGGAACTCCAGGATCTGGGCTACTGTCACCTCTGTGGGAGGAACACCTGATCTGGCACACCAGGGACAAAAGACCTTCCAGGTGGCATTGTAGTGGAAGGCCTCCTAGAGGCGTGTATTGTCTGAATGACACTAGAGGAAAAATTGTCCCCCCTCAGAATGCTCCACTCAAGTGCCAGATGGTCAATTGGAGCCACTGTGGTTCCGGATGAACCAGGGACCCTTGACTGAGGGAGATTTTATTCTGTGGGATCCTCCAGGGCTGAGCTACCGACAGGTTGAACAGGTTGGCAAATCATGGTCTTCTGGGCCAGTGAGGGGCCAGGAGTAGGCTTTCTGCCTTCTCCAATACCTTCCTGATCACCCTTGGAATAAGGGGAAGAGGAGGGAATGCTTACAGTAGCATTGACCTTCTCCATCCCCGGTGCCACAAACCTGGCAAAGAACCTGTGTAGCTGGCTGTTGTCTAGGGTAGCAAACAGATCCACTACAGGGAGGCCGAATCAGTCCATCAATTCCTGGAATAGGGATGGCGCCACTCCCTGTGGTTGATTGAGGCTCTGCTGAGCCAGTTCACCTGCATGTTTGTCACCCAGAAAATATATTCTGCTGTGATAGACAGAAGGTACCTCTCTGCCCAGAGCCTAGCTGCTTGGCCTCCTGCATGAGGGACCTGGAGCGGGTACCCCCTTGGCCGTTGATATGCGCCTTGGCAGCCACATTGTCAGTCAATACCAGAATGTGTCTGCCCAAGACCAACTGCTGGAAGTGCCGGAGGTCCAGGTGGACTGCCCTGAGTTCCAGCCAGTTGATATTGTGGTTCCAGTCCACCTGGGTCCACTGCCCTTGTGTCATCTATGATTGGAGAAGAGCCCCACCACCACCAAAGAGGCCGGCATCCATCGTAAAGGTCAGGCATTCAGACTCCTTGAACTGACATCCCCTGGTGATGACCAGGGACATCCACCACTTGAAGGACCGGATTACCTCCATTGAGATGTGGACCTTGGCCAGTGAGTTGCTATATACATGACCTCTGGAAAGGTAAAAGAAACCATTGTAGATCTCTGGCACGCCAGTGTGCCCATGGGACAATGGAAATATTGAACACATCTTGGTCAGGAGCTGTGAGAGCAGGACCAAGGATACTGTTTGCTCTCTCTTGACTCGACCTGCGAAGTCCTTGAGGCTGGTCTGTCGCTCCTGGGAGAGATAGACTCTGCATACAACAGTATCTATTACTGCTCTCAGGTGGAGCAGGTGGTTTGTAGGTGACAAATGGATCTTTTCTATATTTATCGCAAACCCGTGGTATTGAAGTACCTGGATAGTTACCTGCATATCCTCCCTTGCCTGGTGGCCAGAGGAGGACTGGATCACCCAGGTAACACTGGACATGCATGTGAAGAACTGAGATGAGCTATCAACACAGCCAGCAGCTTTGTGAATGCCCTCGGCGCTGGCAATAGGCCAAATAGCAGGGTCTTGCACTGGAAATGGCTGTCCACATATTGGAATTGTAGGTACTGCCAGTATAACACCAAAATGGGGACATGCAGATAGGTCTCTGTCAAATCGATGGACATGAGAAAGTCGCCCTCCCAAACACACACACACACACACACCAGGATAGATTGGAGTGACTGCATCTTGAACCGCGGGTAGACAAGGTGGCGGTTCAGCCATTTCAGGTCCAAAATAGATCTCCACCACCACCCCAAGGTCTTGGGAATCACAAAAAGGCTCAAATAAAATCCTTGCCCCTGCTGGTCTTCTGGGACCTGCTGGATTGCCTGAATGTCCAGCATGTGCTCTATTGCTGTTTCCATGAGGACCTTCTTTGAAATATCTATTGAGACTGGGCAACAGATAAAGAACATCGGGCATGTGGAGAAGAATTCAAGTGAGAGGCCTGACCTCACTGTCTCCCGGACCCAAGCATCTGATGTAATCTCCTCTCATTGGTCTGCAGAGGGACAGGCGACCCCCAATGGGAAGGTTGGACTTGCAGTTAATTGGAGCGACGAAAGGACCAATCTCCTTCGCAACGAAAGGGCCACTTTGACTGAAACTGTCTGCCCGACCTATCCTGTTGTTGTTGTCTCTGTCTTGGGATGCAGTCCTGAGGACATGGGAATTCTGCACTTGTGCCAATAGCCCGAAAGGATGGCCGGCGAAAATATGGTGAGGGGCGAAATTCTTTTATCTATGGACTCCACCAATATTGGGTCCAGAGCATCTCCAAACAGTTTCTCCCCTCTGAAAAGGGTGATGGAAAGCCGTCATTTGTTGCGGGTGTCCGCCTGCCATTGGCACAGCCAGAGCAAATGGCGGGCCACTACCAAAGAAGCAATGGCCTTGGATGCAAATCTGGCTGCGTTGAGTATAGCATCCACTATACTGCCACAAGTTTATTAATGTCCTGGTGTGTTCTCACATCGCTGTCAAGATCCTTTCTTGCATCTGGTGAAGCCAGAGCAAGGGTGCCCTGTTGAAGAATGAGGCAGTTGTGGATGCTCTGACTGCCCACATAGCTGCCTGATGGGTTTTTTTTTGGCAGAGTTTGATCTGTCCTTCTATCTTCTGCCTTCAGGCTCTCCTCAGGTTCACCAGGTATGGTGGAAGAGGGTTGCAGGGCTGCCACTGGGGCATCCACAGCTGGTATCTTAAGCGCCTGGCAAGCGCCTTTAAAATCCCCTATCGGCAGACGATGGTTTGGGGCCCACTCCAGGAGAGGCCCACTGCCTCTGGTGTCAATAAACAGTTTCGGGAAGGGGATGATCTCTTTCTCTGTGGTTGACTCAAAGAGTGGATTGGTTGGATCAGATTGGCCCTCCAGTGGTTCAGGATGTGCAACGTGTGCCCCAAGGTGGGCTGAATTTTTAGCTTTAAAGAGAAGTTATTTAAACAGGGCACAATGGAAGAGCCCCATAAAAGCAGCAGCCGGTCATCATCGGAAAGGTCCAATTCCCTTTGCCCTTCCTCCTCAGAGTAGAAACTGGCTCTTTTGGAACAAGCGAATAGGGTTCAGGGAAGGAAGAAAAGTCCCCCTGGAATTGGGGAACCTGGCATTGGCTGGGATCCATACCGAAACCAGAGACCACTGAGGATGCTTGCCTGGACTCCTGCATTCTTGCAGTTATGCCCTGCCTGATGGCTTCTGCAATGATTGACTGCATGTTGGCAGGGACTACTGATTCTGGCCCTGGCCCATGGTGAAGGACTGTTGCTATTGGGGTAAAGGCAGTTTCAGGCACAGCTCTGACAGGGCTGCTCAAAAATCCCTGCTGTTGTAAGCATGTCTGATAGAGAGCTCAAGACTTGCATTGATGACCAGGCAATAAAGAGCTCTGAGGAGAAAACTGCTCTCCAGCTCCCCCTGGAAACAGGCCAAGTAAGTACAGCCGATTAGAATGGCTTGGCTCACCTGGCAATTCTGACAGTTGATTACTTCTTCTGTCAGCCTCTCTTTGCCCTTTGACACACAGTCTCTCAAGGGTTTTTTCCCTTGCACGCACATCCTTCTCTGCTGCTTTGGAGTTCTTACGAGCCGACACAACCTTTCCTCCAGATTTGAGGTGCGCTTGGCCACCATTCCAGGTGAAGTAATCACCTTGGGGGCTGCTGTTGCCTCCCCAGCCGTTGTTCCCGCGCTGCTGCAAGCAGCAGTCTCATCCGCTATTTTGTATGCTGTGATAGGCAGACTCACTCTTAAAAGAGCTCTGCTACCAACGCGGCCTTTAAAGAGTGTACCCGAGGAGGGCAGGGAGTTGACCACTCCCCTAAGCTCCCCAGGTCACTGCGGGAGCAGGGTCTAAAGGGCTTGGATTGCTCCATTCTCCAGGAGCCTATGAGCCAGTTCGCACCTTTTTTAAAGCTTGGGTTCTCCATATGATCGGAGCATGAAAGCTCATGACAAGCCTCCAAGCCCAGGGGCTAGCAGCATGGAGCCAGGTTCATTCACACTACACCACGATTAAAAGTAAGGATCATGAAGCTCCTGTGACGATTGAGTCTCTGGGTTAAGTGGCATGGAACAAGCTCATTCATGCTGCCCCTCAATCAATTTTGCTCCTTCTAGGAGGCTGTCAAATTAAGGACTGTGAAAGCTCCTATGACATTTTAAAGCCCGCCGGATCGGCTATTAATTAGGGAGCGCAAAAGCTCCTATCATCATTTGAAGCTCCTTCACAGTTTAAAGTTCCAGAGGTTAATGGCATGGAGCCAGGCTCATTCACACTACTCCTCGACCGCAATGGTGCTTAGTGCATCAAAGATGGACTTCAGCGGCTTGAGCCAAAGCTCTTACCACTGAAAGAAACCCAGCGAGTCTACCGGCGAGACCGGGAATCAGCTGGTTAGAATAACTCAGAGAAATAAGTCCAGAAATATCCTGTTTGATCTAAAGGAATCCAGGAATGCTCTATCAAAGTACTTACAGGTACCAGATCTTGAGATGAGCAGCATATTTTTCCCTTATTTAAGTGTTGTATGATGATTTAGGTAAAACATTAACACAATTTTAGAAGTTAACTTTGACACTTTGAGGAAAAAAATGGATAAAAGATTGGACAAGATTTCAGGGAAAATTAAACAAGTTAATGATAGCAAAGGGAGTTAATGGAGAGAGGGCTGGATAATTTGGCTATGTTGGAACTCAGAAAGCGGAAATTCTATTACAGTTACATAAATTACAGTTTTGTTGCAATGAGACAAATAGCAAGATATATTTCTAAGGAAAAGAACAAGGGATCAGTGCAATGTTAGTTTGAGGCAAGATTCAAGATTGATAATGCTGATGTAACTGTTTTAAAGGAGATTCTTATTAGGATCCTGTGCAAGAGAGATTAGTTTTTTCTTATAGATATTCTAAAGAGGAGAGGATTCCATTTCACTGGGATAAGCTGGAAAGAGTAATTTTTACTTTTGAATTACTTTTGAAATATTTTGAGATAATCTACAACTTTTACATGGAGATTAACTGGAGAAGTTATTTACAAAAAGACTCGGTGGTATATTATTGCAAGAAGAAACTAGTTGAATTCTTTGACAATAATCTAGACAACAGACAGAATTAAAGATTGTTGGGGATGCCAGTAAAGTTTTGATGAGATTATTTTTATTCAACATGAGAGGAAAAAATACAGGTTATTAAGAAAGATTTACAAAATACATTTACAGATTGACCATTGGCTTAGCTAAGGGTCGTTCTCTGTGCACTGTGGGAGAGCCCAAGCTTGGGTTAAATTCTGTCACATTGCCCAAGGACTGGATTAAAAAATTCTTGGCCATGTCTCCTGGCATCCTTCAGCCCCAGTTTTTCAATGAAGGCATGGTCCTCTCGGAATGTAGGTTCATATTAGATGCAAATCCTCCGACGAAGGCATAGATGAAAACAGTCTGGAGAAAATCTTCACCCCAGGGTGGGGTTGGACTCTTTCGCGGTGCATAGAGAACGACCCTTCAGGTAAGCCAATGGTCCTTCTCCTTTGCACTGCTAGGAGAGTCCAAGCATGGGACATACCCAAGATAAATGTCACTAGGGCGGGTAAAAGACAAACCCTCAACCCTGATAATCAATCCTTGCCGGAATGGATACTCTTCAAGACACGTCTACCAAAGGAGGTATCCGCAGAAGCATATTTGTCCAATTATAATGTCTGACAAAAATAGAAGGCATCACTCAGGTCGCAGCCTTGCAGATGTCTTCAACTAAGGCCTGGGCTGCCCAGGCCGCTGTGGTGGCCATGCGTCTGGTCGACTGCACCCGTAAGCCAAGGAGGAGCCAGCCAGCCTTGTTGTTCATAGGTAAGAGAAATGCAAACCTTGAGTCAGCATCCCACAGTGGAAGAGGA